GGGGACATTTCCAGTAGGCAGTATGTGCATTTGAAATCCATGTAAAATTAAAAATTAATGTGGATTTTTTTTTTTTAAATAGAAAACAAACGCGAAATTTGTATACCACACAAAATCCTCAGAAAATACAAAACAAAACAAGAGAATGGTGCCAGCTGTTATTCTGCATAATTTAAGACATAATAGCAATATAGCTAAGGGTTTTTTCAAGCCAAAATTATTTGAATTTCATGAACATGACATATTTGAAACAGGCCTGACAAGCAGTCTAGAATACTAGATGATGGATTGCTGAGAAACATAATTTTCACTTTAATAGAACTGCGGCATGCACATAATTCTATCCCCTAGTGTTTTGCTGTAACAGTGAATTTAGTCCAAAACTACAGCCTTGAGAATTTGAATACAAATCTATCACTATAACTGGAATGAGTTCTTCATTTGAAAGGTAAGGATTCCCTCTGCAGATTAATTTGTACAAAAGTGCACAGCACTGCTGCACAGACTCTGGAAAGCATATATCCCACCAAAATGCCTGTTCTAGGTCCAGATGAAGTCAAAGGCAGCATTTTCTTTGACTTCAGCTGGGACACAGGAAGGCCGATAAGTACCCACATGGTACTTTATTAAAATGACATGCATACTTTCTAGTAATGCCAGTTAATCCTATCCATTCAAGTGGAAAATTAGTAACATAGTTTTACCATTTTGTAATTACTAATGAACACCCTGATGTACATATATTTTGAACATCCCTGTAAAAGAAGAAAAACAAAACAAACAAAAAAAAATTGGAAAATCATTTAAAAATAAATAACACTTAAATAAAATCAAGGTAAAATAAAGTATAGTAATGTATCTGACATTCTTGAACTATTCCAAGAAAAAGACTATTTGATCTGTGGCAATAAACAAACAAGCAACAACCAAAGACAAATAAAAATAATAAAAATAAAAATAATTAAAAAAAAACTGTTTATCAAGCAAATAAGGAGACTGAAAGATTCCATCTTTTGATGCATCTATCAGTAAAATTTTTCATCTAAATTACATTTTCAGGGGAAAAGACCATTTATGATTTAGCTATTTCCAGAATTCACAGTTTAAAGTTTGGAGCCTGAAAAAAATTGACTACTAAAATGTATATGCCTTTTAAACTTCTATATTTTATTCTAATAGATTTTTAAATGTATATCATATACATTCCTTAAGTCTACTCTTATTAAATTTTGATGTTAAACAGAAAGGGGAAACCATGTGCAACTAGATTAATTTATCTCCAGGGAATAAGGACACATTAATAATTGAGATAATGTTTTCATATATGTTGGAATCAAGTGTGCCTTTTCAATTCTTTATTAGAAAACACATTAGGGGAAAATTATCTCATTCTCATCAGTAAGACCTAATTGCTGAGAAAGTCTCTGTTTTCTTTGCAATAACAAAAGGATTGTTCTCATTACTTCAAAATGAAAAAAAAAAAAAATGAAATATTATCAAGCAGCGCTGGAATAAATGCCTGTATTACCAAAGAGAGTGTTTACTTAATACACCCAGTCCTGTTTTTGTTTTAAACAAATCAGAGTTTATTGTATTTTTATAAAATACAAGCAAACTCTGGATTGGATAAAAGTGGGCCAAAGGGGGGGAAAAAGAAAAAAGAAAAAAGAAAAAAGAAAAAAAAAAAAAACTACAACTGAAAATGACTAATATTTTTGGCTTTCTGAAGAACTGATCTTTCTGTAAGTTATAAAAAAATGATCTTGGCTGATTGCTAGAGAGCTCTATAATTTCCCATGAACACCCATAGGTGTCGAGGCCTGTTGTGAGGTAATGGAATGGTATGTAATTTACTCTGAATCGTTGTACGTTATGCTATATGGATTACATACAAAGCAAACATTGAGTGCACGGTGGGAACACTTGTGCAGACAGACTGAAGCATATTTCCATAGGGTTGAACTATACATCAAATGCAATGTTTCTGATGTTTCCCACAACAAAGAAAGTTAAACAGCCGCCAAATCAGTAACTGTGCTTAAAAGACTTTGCAATAGCCACTTTATTTATCTGGTGTACACTGAAAACAAAGAATTATAAATGAAAACAAACATCTATCAACTTTACTTTGCAATGTGGAGAAAAAAAATAATAATATTACAAAGCTGTTAGTGGTACTAAGAAAGATTCGTCTCCTCTACGAGGCACATCAAGACCCAATGTTGAATAACCGAACTGCGCACATACTTGTACTTGATTCTATCTTGAAGGATTGGTTGAAAAGAACTGACTAGTCAAAACTTCATAAAGGGACAACAGTGGAACATTCCTTTAACGTTTGTGGTGATTTAGTCTATGTTCCTATACTATATAGAGTAAAAGTGTTATTTAAACGCATACTTTCTATTGCTTGTATTAATTTTCATAGGTCACCTTTGTAAACACCCACACACACTTTCTGCTTTCTTCTACTATATTTTCCTTTATTAAACATTTGTTCTCTGATAGAAAAAACATACTGAATTGAAAGTCAAAATAAAAGAAATGTCCAAAGCTTTATGTTTAGCTAATGCTTGGGATATGTTATTCTTTGCTAACAATTTTTGGCATTAGCAGAAATAATCTGAGACCATGACCCACAATAGCTCCCCCCTAAAAAAAAATGAATTTAATTTTTATTTTGAATATAACTCACTTAAAATAAACACACAGTCACTTTTGATAGCCAATGGGAAATCTCTGTTGTGTATTAGGAACAGACGAGCAATTCCACATAAAAACTCAGCTGACACCCACCGGTGACCTGAATCTGGCACATACATCAGCGCTGTGTCTTATTTTCACTTGACATCTTTTTCTTCTTTGCTTTTGGCTCTGCCCCTCCACCCCCATACTTCTTTGATTTCTTTAAAACAATTTAATCTGAAATTAGACTAAAAAATTCTTGCCTACAAAAAGAAAAAAAAATAAATTGTAACTTAACTTGCATAAAACTGATTTATATGGAATGAATTTTTAATTGATAATGTAAATATTTAAGGCTAACATAAAACTTTCTAACTCCATATATTTTAGCTAAAATTCAATGTTTTTTGTAAGCTGGTGATGTGGCAAGTTTATTTTATCATTGAACATTATGTTAATTAACATAGCCTAAAACACAAAACACCTGAGACATAATAAAGACTCCAAAGTCATTACAGAGTTTCATTAAAAAAATAATAACAATAATAATAATAATATAAATAAATAAATAAGATTAAGAACATACCTTATAATCACCGCGGTTTCATAGAAATAGATTTAAGCCTGATTTATGAATATCTGGTATATAAGAGAAATACAATCTCCACTGAAAGCAGCAAAAACCTCCCAATAATTTCAAGTCATCCCATATTTTATGGAATACATTTAACTGCGCTCCAGGACTGATCTTTTACTCTTTAATGTGAAACTCTCTCACTGCAATGACTCCTGTGGGCAAATACTTTTAGACAAAGCCCCTGATGTGCTATTACTGTTTGTTTGCACATAGGAGATGCACAGGAGTTCCTATTAATGGAAACAGGTCACATATATCAGGTAACATGTGAAAACAGAACAGAATGATGAAAAGAGGTGATCATCAGTTCCAAAGAACTAACAACCTAAATATTCATGGATTTTCTGTGAGTACTGTATGAAAGAGTTGGCTCCACAACATCGAATATATTTTTAATATATATTCCTTTTTACTATATTTCCACTGCAGACAGCAAAAAGGCTCCTTGCATCTTCATGGGCTTCTTTCTGGGTTTCTAAACAGCCAGCATGTCCCTTTATTTTCTGGAGGCTCAGATTTGGTTTAGATGAGTAAATAACACCTGTAGATCTATGGATACATTTCTGCTTTCTCTCCATATCGTTACCCTTGAAATTGGCAGGAGCTGTGGCTCCAGAGAGGACTTAACAAAACTGACTCCTTCCAGCACAAAGCAAAGCAATGACAGGAAAGAATAGGTAGACGGGAGGCTGTTCTTATAAATTAGAATTACTGGCACACATAAGGATTGCACTTGTTCCTTGTTAATTATTGGATCTGTGTGTAAAATAAGCATATGTTGCATTTTCTTTCTAAATTAGCTTTCACAAGACATTGTCATTAGCATTTGTGTACAAACAATACTCAAGCATGAAAATCTGGCGCTTCACTGTGTACACGGTCATGATCAGTAATAGCCATACATGTCCCCGTACAGCCAAAAGAATACAGTGGCCTCTTCTGCCAAACCACAGCAGATTATTTAGAGTTTGTCGCTAAGCAAGCCAAATTATCACAGCCTGAATGTTTTCGTATCAATTATCACTGTTGCTCCCTCTAAGATGGTGACAAATACAAAACAAAATGCCAGTGCAAACAGCTTTTGCACTCAGGCATCGAAAGCACCACTAGGGGAACTCATGGTCGGTGCACGACCAGAGCTGAGCTAAACTACGAGCTAATCATGAACGGCAGGGCTGTGGACGAGGCTCCTGCGCTTCTCTCAGCAGCTCTGTTGGACTGCCAGGGAGCCAAGGCCGTGCTGCAGTGCAGCGCCTCAACCCGCACGCTGTGCTCAGACTGAGGGATGCATGAAGCCAGGAATGCAACCCGGCAGCTCCTTCAGCCCTTGTCACACAGGCCAAAATATGAAGACCACTGTTTGTTGTAACCTTCAGCCGTCTCTGGCCGTGTCTCTGTGTGCCATAGCAGAGCATTGGCCATGATCTGCTCTTGCCACGTGAACCAGCTGGGGCCCTGAGGTGCCTGCCGGCCTCCTGGATACCCACAGCAGTTAGGGGCTCATGCTTGCCCTGGCTACACTTTCAAACCTGCTGTGTTAGCTTACTGACATTTTTGCCTCATGTTTTTGCTTTGGTTTGTTTCACCGTATAAAACTACACTAGTCCTACATGCAATTACACTCAACGTCTGTTTCAAAATAACCAAGTTTGACAAGGAAGGAAAGACAACGACTTACTTCCCAGAGATGCTGAGTGTTCCTGATGGCTCCCGCTTGGACCTTCTCCGGCAGGAGCAGGACTCCCTGGAAGGGCCCGATCCAGGTGCCCTGCTGGATCCTCTGCGCTGCACAGATGCCGTAGGCCAGGCCGGGCACTGTGCTGGTGCACAGGCACACCTCCCGCGGCAGGTCCCGCAGCCACTCGGGGATCTCGGGTGGAGGAGCCGCCGCCGCAGCACTGCTGGTGCCCACCAGGCGCCGCAGGGAGTGGAGGGGCCCGTGCATGGGGCACTCGCCATTGCGGTTATCGGCGCACATGTCACACCCTGGGAGGCAGAGGGGAGAACGCTGTCAGCGCCAAGGTCACGCCGGTCCCTCTGCTTTGCTCGTGACCTCATGGCCACCCAGGACACGTGCCCCATGCCCCTTCATATGGTGCATCAGCCTAACCTTGCCAAGCCCTTAAAAAGAAATCCCGAAGGCTCAGCAGAAACCCTGCAGACAGTTTGCAAGCACAGTGTGTTCACGGACCTGCCAAGACTCTTTCATCCCGACACAATTTCTAATTTTTATTTTTTTAATGAACACAGGGCCCATTTAAACCACCCCAGTGTTGTGTTTCAGAGAGACATTTAAAAACCCACTCTCAATGCCTTGCAAGTGTCCCACATTCGCCTTACCACAGCTCAGCCCAAGGGTTTAATTGGAACAGGATTTAATTTCATCCTTACTTTGAATGAACATTCACTCTAATTTTTACATTGACAGATGTGTGCGTGCATGTCTATTCAGAAAATAAATTAAGTAGAACTTCATGAATGACAAGTCAGAGAATGCATGCATCTTTACTTCCTTAAAAGCGAATCTAATCTCAAAAATGAAATTATGTAGCAAGTATTGCTGATCCCTAGCGCACATTTAAAAATTTTTATTGAACTGGAACGCGTGCTGTTTGCCAAGCTGAGGTAGCTGAGGCTAAGAACGAGAACAGCATGTCTGGTTTTGTGAGCAGCTCCCATGAAAAAAGACCATTTTGTAAAAAATGTTAATTTCCCTAACTGGGTTAGTAATGGATGGTGTTGCTGTATTTTGGGAAGATCCAACTGTGATTTCTCTTTTCTGAGCAAGGGAAATTTTGGTAAAATGTTTCCGTTACACACTATTGAACATGCCATGAATGCACAACTTCCAGGAAAATGTTTCATGCTCAGGAAACCCATTTCTCTAGAGGTATGCTGAGTTAATATAACAATAAATCTATTGAAATAGGTTACCGTCTTCTGTACATTTCACTTTTATATTACGGGAAAGGTTTTCATATAAATTTATCTCAGAAACACAAACAAATGGGGAAAACAGTAACTACAGCATAATACTCGTGTAGCAATTCCTAGAGCTTTCCCCTTACAATTTCGTACTACTGCTTCCATTCTTATGAAAATAAGGAGCAGTATTCACTACAGAAGCAGGAGCTCCTTGGCCTAAGCCACAGAGTTAGCCTTGCTAGATCGCCTGTAACCACAGCCTTGATTCTCAGCAGCACTGATTCAGCTGTCCTTCTTTCCAAGGTGGAAAGCTACATGCAAAAGCTGGTTTCTCTCAAAACCATCATGCCGTCCTCATCCAGGAGGCACACTGCTTTACTCTGCACCAGGCTGTGCGAGCCCCTGGGGGGAAGATTTGTGAAAGCACAGGGAAAAGGTTTCCAGCTAGACCGCAGAGAATATTGTTATGCAGCAAATATTCCTACAGCCATTCCCAGGCATGATGAATAAAAGGCAGTGAGTATATGTCGGGTGTTTTTGTGGTTGTTGTTTCTCTTGTTGTTTCCGCAGCTAGTTTGGAAGATGGAGTATCACCGCAACATCTCTTCTTTCCTCTTTGAAACCAACAATCAAGAAACCCTGTGTTTTTGGCACATGCAAAGGTCTCAGAGGCTGCACTAGACTTTGGCACACCCGGATCGTTCAGGAAAGGATCCCAAATAGGAAAAACAAAACAAAACAAATTGGCATGTGAGTGCATGTTAAGCAAATTTGGCATCTTACCATGCAAGTTAGAAAGAAAACATCTGACAGGAAAACTGTGGGTTCAAAGAGAGGATGTCTGAGCATGATGTCAATTAGCACCCAGGGCAAGCCCTTGAGTCCGACCTGCTTGCGCTATTTGGCCATCTTTTGCATGCGTAACTCTCCTCCCAACTGACTGATTATTGATGGCTTTTTTTGGAGACACTGTCTCTCTGTAGGAACTTACGTTAAACATACTAAGGCATCCTTGTGGCTCCATTCAGGCAATTTCAGTGTCAGCTTCCTGCATCCTACCTCCAGATATGCAACGTCTCTCCTGCACACAACTTGTAGTGCCTGCCCAGAAAAAGGATTTCTTTGCTTCATGCTGACAATATGTGTAAATAATATATTTAATTTCTATTTCTTAAAGGAAAAGAGATTAAGAAATTGAGGAGAAGTATAAATGAGCTCCATGCCACTGTCATTTACCCTTGCAGAAAGTCACACATAGTGATATTTATTTTCCACTGTCCAAAACACTGGTAATGTCTTAATGCTTGCCAGCTGCAGTATCTTATCTCCTGCTGTGCTCCTTTCCCTTTGTCCTGCCAAAGCTGAAAATTTGGAAAATGGGACATCTTCTGAAACTGTTTCGTCTTACGGCTTGCTGTTGAGAGGCAGGGAGTCTGTCCTTAGGCTAAGCAGTACTGAAAATCTTCTGAGTTGCATGCTTTATTCATCCATCTCCAGTTGTTACTGAATTTTAGAAATAGTCATTAAAAAAATCTCATAAATAATACAACAAGTGGAAGTACTACTGGACTTAATTTACCTTGCCTTAATAAAAAGCCAGCGTATGTCTTTTTCTTGTCCCATGAGTTACTTTTGCCTACTGATATGTGGAAGGTTTTGTACACAAACATACTTTCTATAATGTTTTGGTACCCATCTAAGGACAGTCCATTTGGAGAAACTGTAAGGAGTAGGTTTCTTTGCCTAACATAACAGGGGAAGCGAGTCCTTTGTAAAAGCAGACTCCATCTTGCCCACTTTCCTGCCTCACAAAGAAGATCAACATCATTCTTCATGAGCAATGCAAAGTAGGACACCATGCAGTGCAGCAATGTGTTAAACAATACATGGAAAGGAAAGGTTGGTGGGTTGTTTCTTTTTTGGGTTTCTTTTTTTTTTTTTTGAGAGCTGTAACCCAGTGGCTCCCTAAGATCAGGGCTCCAGTGGCACTGCAAGAGTGTCTGAACCAGAAAGCAAGTGTTGAGATCTTCACGGGTGTGGGAAGCTTGTGCAAAAGGGACATAGTGGGACAAGCGTGAGCTGTCCGGGGGGCTGCCACACAGAGCAATGAAGAGAGTCATGCCCTGCCCTTCCTGCTTCAGCCTCAGAGAACATCTATATGAGCATGGGCCTCACCCAAGGACCTCAGAAATGAATACTCCCACTGGCTGTAGAAGATTCAGTCAAGTCCCAGAGTAGTAAGAAATGTGAGAAAATTGAGGGATTTGCTGAAAATGGAAAAAGTGAGGAGGACTACAGCCAGAGCATAGCGTCTCCAGACAAAATAAGAAGAGATAAAAGGTAAAGTCACTGGGAACGCACTTTTGTGGGCCCTAATGCAGCCAGACTCTTTGGAAGGAGATCAGTTTTTTTACTTTCTACCTTCATGCTCTATAGATAGGAGGACTACAGCAAGGAAGAAGCAAGGAAAAAAATAAATAAATGATTTCCTAGTGGAGCTGTTTGGTATGACTCTTTTGGGAAGAGTGCAATATGTTATCATTTATTTGCCTCCATAAAAATGAGCACGGTGTAATGCCAGCACTATAACTCCATATGAGTGTACTTAAAAGTAGTAGACTCAAGCAAAAAGGGAAAGGACACATCATTGCCACCAAATATGATTCTAAACGCTCTCCAACCTAAATAACACTACTACTGCATATTTTAAAGGAAATCTGAGAGGAGAAAGCTTTTGTCAGTAAAAGGTAGAGTTCAACACAGAGTTTAAACCAGCAAGCCAGCTGTAACAATAAATGAAGGAAATACATTTTTGTCTCGGCGATAATATGCTTCAAAGGTGCAGTTACACTGGATACCTGCAGTTTGCTGGTATTAAAGGAGGGTGGCCTCTGACCCTCCACTCCATAATTCACTGTAAGCGTGCAGGTATCCAGTGTAAGTGGCCATCATTTCACACGGAATTACTCGTTCGCAAAAGTAAATCACTGCCGCTGGCCCTGCGCCCCTGCCTGGGCCCAGGTACCCAGCCAAGAAGGCGGATGGGCTGGGTAAGGCAGCCCCCTTCCATCTCCCGAGGGCTTTCCTGCGGACGGCGCCTTCCCCGTGCCTCAGCTTCCTCACCGAAGAGCTGAGATTAATGTCCCGGTGCCCCCACGAAAGGACCTGTCGGGTTCCCGCTGCCAGGCAGCCCTGCGGGGACAGGGCACGGGTACGCGTTCCCTTCCGCTGCCCTCTTTCCTCAAACCTCGCTTTGTTCCCTCCGTGCCCGCTCCCGACGGCGTGACCGAGCCCATCCCGAACCCAAAACCATGAGCCCAGACTCCAGGGCCCCGGGCTCCGGACCTCCGGACCCCAGACCCCGGACCCCGGTCCCCGGCCGCCCCCTCCCGACTCCTGGCCCCGAACCCCCCGCCCGGGACCGGAGGGGACCGTGCACGTCCCTCCGGGTCCCCACGCGTGTGGTGGGGAGGGGGTCGGGGCCGTGGGAAAGCTCCCTGCTGGCAGAGCGACTTTGGGGCTATTTCCCTCTTTTTGCCATGCGGGCGGGGGGCAGGCTGCGGGAGGAGGGCTTGGTTTTCCCCGGCTTCGATTGAACGCGTGAATGAATTAAATTTCCGTGTCAGGTATGAGGAGGGTAGGAGAATATTGTGTGTAGATAAACCTTGCCACCCCCTGCCCCTGAGAGACCCCCATATACAATGTGGAGATGATGAATAGGCTCTGGGAGAGGAGATCGAAGTTCAGTCCGCACCGGCTCCACTCTCTCCTACAAAACTATAGGGCAATTAATTGTGGCTTGTCCCCTCATCCTTCATCTCCTGGTGGCACATATCGATGGAGATTACTGCTGATGGACCATTTTATCACCCTAAATAAACAGTCACCACCTTCTCTAACCTCAATCTAATATATGGCTATCTGCTATGTTTAAGGGTGCTGGGTAACTAATGATGTAAAATAGCTAAATCATACAGGTTACCAGCAGTCCAGGGGATAAATAAATAAATAAATAAATAAATAAATAAATAAATAAAAATCCGAATATTCCCCGCACCGATCCACCTCGCAGCGCCTTTCCCGATTCTCGGAGCATCGGACGGGAAGACGGGCGCACGAAGGGAAGGAGCGGGCTGGCACCTCGGCGCTGCACCGCGCACTCGCTGCGCCGCCAGCTCGCTGCCTTCCAGCGCAGCCGGAGGAGCCAAAGGGCTTGCGAAAGCCTCTGCCCCGAGAAGGGGGACGAGACCCCGAGCCCCCCGCTCGGCACCCCCGATCCTTCCCGAGGGCATCTCCCCGTCCCCCCAGCACTCACCGCCCGCAGCCCCCGGCCCGGCTCTCCGCACGGTCCCCTTTACTTCCCTGGGAGCAAGAACCCCGGGCACTAATTACTGATATGTACGTGTGTATGTCTCTATACGTATGTGTACATATAAACATTATTTTTTTTTCTAACTAACGCCCTTTCAATTTACAGCAATCTCACTCGCACGCTCGACCCGCAGCCCCCGGCCGACCTCTCCCACTGCCGTGCCGCCTGCACTGACGCCCGGCGGCGGGGGCAATGGGCACCGGCGCCCACCCGTTTCCTCCCCACGACCCCCCACGACCTCCCACGACCCTCTCCACGGTTTTCCCGGCGCCGAGGCCCCGCCAGGAGCGCTGCGAACTCCCCGTGCTGCGCTGCGGCCGGTCGGGGGCGGCTGGAGGAGAAGTTTTGGGGAGTTCCTGCCGGGAGGGAGAGAAGCCCGTGAGGGAGCGGGGAGAGGAGGATTGCTCCAGAGGGGAAGGGGGTGCATGGAGGGGAGAGTTTGAGAAAGAAAGGGACCGAGGGAGCTTGCGGCCGGCGCCTCTGCGACGAAAGCCCGAGGAGCGGCACCCCGGGGTCACGACAAGCAGGGGCCCGACCCGGAGCCGATCGCTTCTCAACTCTCCTACGACCAGTTTCACCTCTTTTCCCTCGTACGGGCACCCCCAGCGCAGCATGGAGAAGGAGCCAAAGCCGGGGACAACCACCCCGGCTGCCCGCCGCCCCTCGCCGGGCACCCACGGGACGCCGGCACCCCGTGCCCCCCGGCCGGCCAGGCAGGCCCGCACCCTCCGCTCTGCTTTTTCCACGCGTGTGTGCGTGGGAGCCAGTGTCCCCGAGTGATCCCCGCGGTCCCTCCTCGCCGGGATGCTGCTCCTTCCTCCCCCGGCCGTGAGAAGGGGCTGCCCCCAGCAAATGCACCTGGTCCCGGCAGGCTGGGGCGCTCGGGTCAAAGTTTTTGCTCGGAGACGACTGGAAAGGTGTTGGAGAGCAAGTGGCCCGGTAAATAGGCCCGCTGATGAGAGTTTTTGGGTCTCACGGCGGAAAATAAGCCACAGGCCGCCCCGGCAGCACCCAGCCCCGTCTTTTCGTGTGCCCCATCCCAGCCAGAACCGAGCCACTTTCCTTTCCGCAAGCCACCTTTAATATCGCGATTGGGAAGAAACTGTGCAGACTTCGCCAGCGATTCTGCAGCATGCTATTATTCCGCTCGCTCCTTAAAAATACCCCACCCCGAATCTCTTTTTTATCTTTCTTTCTCGGCTTAAAACCTTTATCTTGCAGATTTACGGAGCCGCTCGGAGAAGTAAAAGGCTGGCGATTAAAAGTGCATTTCTGATTCCATTAAGTGCGTGTAATTTATGAGATCACGCTTTCTGAGCCCGAGAGTAGAAAATACATTAATACGCCTCGCTGCAAGGTAAAACTAAGCGTAAAGAAGCCGCTCAAAACAAAGTTGGTGTCCGGCGCATAACGATTCGCAGTGTTAAGAAGGGGGGGGGAAATCCGCACCAAACTCCGCGTCAACTTTCCTCTTGCTCTCTAAGACTTCTGCAGGGCGACCAAGGCTACGCTACCATCCGCACGGTGCAATTAATACACGGCTGAGTTTCACGGAAACTTTCAAAACAAACTCCGCATCTGAAATGAAATTAAACGAATCCACGCTCTGCTTGGGCATGTGCTCGCGGATTGCTGCTTTGGGGTGTCGTTCCTCTGTTCAACAGCCTTCCTTAAATAGGCATTTCAGGGGGCAAGGGCAACCGAAATAAAGAACTTTGAGAAACACTGGATGAGAGAAGGGGGTCTGCATGGAAAAAGTGTACGAGCCGAAGTCATGATCCTCTGTTTTAACGGGGCTAGACCCGTGTGCTCGGGATGTTAACAGTAAATCTAATGAATTAATATAGTTCATCTAGTTATTCTCACCCCGCGAATTACCTCGGTTGCACCGTACCGACAGAGACAGAAACCAAAGACAGGCAAAAGTAACTTCTAAAATCGTAAACCTGTAGCAGACATATATGTTTAATATTTGGAGCGCTCCCTTCACAAGGAAAAGAAAATTTAAAAAAAAAAAAAAAAAAAAAAAAAAGACAAAAAAACACCCCACACCAGCTATAATTAGCAACAAGAGGATTAAACATTTCCTAACCACCAAGTGCTAAATGAATTCTGACACTGGGGCAGACGACGTTTCCTCCCTGGAAAACCAGCTTTTCTTATTAAACGACCATGCCACACTTTTCGGTAGGGATGAGGACTAAAACTAGCGAGGTGTTAACGAGGTCTGAAAGGAAAACGATACTCCCAGATAAGAGGAGGGGAAACTTTGCCCTAGCCCGACTGACGGAAATTGCAACTTTTCCCCTGCCCAGCTCGGAGCTGCAGCACAGTGCTGGGCAGCAGCAGATTTCTGGGCACCCAGCGGAGCCCCGGCTCTCCGGGCAGGAGCCAGGCAGCACAAGCAAGGCGAGGAAGGACCAGCTTTTGGCCGGTCCCTCTCACTCACCATTTCGGCAACTGTTTTCCTTCCTTCGCGGCCCTCCGCGAGGAGCCTCCCCCCGCGACAGCCTTCCTGCTGCCGCCGGCCCTCCAGGGAAGGATTCGGCTCTCGGGCTGTGACCGAGAACCACAAACCAGCCCCCGAAAGCCCTGGAGCCACCCCAAAATCATCCCAGGGCATAGCCGAGGATGCTCCCGGCGGCGAGAGCAGAGCCCCCAGCCCAGCCTGGTCTGTCCCGGAGCGGGGAAAGGCGGAGGAGGAGAGGCGCGGGGAGGTGCGGGGCTGCGGGTGCGGGTGACGATACGTACGGTTGTTGGGGTCGCTGGTGTGCTGGTTGAGGGGGATGATCTCCATGCGCTGCTGCCCGTACAGGTAGTAGTCCAGCTCCTCGGCCGTGCAGCGGAACCGGGCTGCCGGGCGCTCGCCGCACTTGGTGCCGCCGGCCCCGCACAAGTCCTTGCCCTGCAGGGGAGCGGGCGCTCCCCCGGCCGGGGGCTCGGAGCTCTGCAGCGGAGCGAAGACCGGCAGCTGGGCGACGGGCAGGGCGCTCAGGCCGGCCAGGGACGCGGCGGCGGCGGCGCGACGCAGGAGGAGGTGGAGGAGGAAGACGGGGTGGATGAGGAAGAGGAGGAGGAGGCGGAGGAGAGGGAGGCCGGGCGCTGGCGGAGGCTGTCAGCCGGGGGCTCGGCTCTCTCGGGCGGCTGGAGCTGGGCGAGGGCCCCGGCGCTCTTGAGCTGGCCGCTCTGCGGGAAGAGCTGCTGCCAGTGCTGCAGATAGGCGGGATCCACCTTGAGGAACGCCGAGCCGCCGGGCTCGCCGGGCTTCAGCATCGCGCTGCCTGCCTGCCGAGCGGGGGGAAGCGGAGAGCAGACGTGAGACCCCCGCCCGCCGCCACCCGGACCGGCCCTGGCCCACGGGTGGGTTCCGGCTGCGGGAGAAGCCTGGGAGAGCGTCCCCGCAGCCCTCCCCTGCCCTTCTCCCAGGCTCGGACGGGGAAACCCCGGTCCCGCGGAGCCCCGGGGGTGCGGGCGAGCAGCGCGGTCCGTGGGGCACGAAGCCTCCCCCCCGCTGTGGGACCCGTCCCTGCCCGGCCCCGGGATGCGCCCCCTCCTCCGGTCCCCTCCGGCTCCTTCCCCCTCTCCCCGCGGCGGCGAACGGCTCCCAAAAAGTTCGCAAGGGGGAGACGGAGCAAACTTCGGCCCCGCGCAACCACCCCGCCGGCCCCGGACCCCGGACCCCCAGGGGGGCGAGGGCAGCGCCCGCGGCACCCATGGGAGACCCGGACCCCCCCGGCAGCGCCCCCTTACCTGAGCGGGGTGCTTGGGAGCGGGCTGCGGCGCGGTCCCGGGAGCCTTGGGAGGGATTTTGGGGGGGCAGAAGGGATTTTTTTTTTTTCCGTGGTCTGCCGGCGGGGCAGAGGGATGTCCTGCTGCTTCCAGGTGCCGGGGGCCGGAGGCCGGCTAGAGGCGAGCCGCCGGGCTCCCTCTGCCGTGGCTGTGCATGGCAGGCGCGCCCGGGCTGCTCGCTCGGCTCTGGCAGACTCCGGGCCAGACACGTGGGTTTTACGACAGCGCAAAATACAAGTGTGCGTGTGTGGTGTGGTGTGCACGGCGGGAGGGAGGGGAGGGAGAGGGAAGTCACCAGCGAGCCGGAGCGCAGGGCCCTTTTTTTTGGCAACATCCCCCACTTTGTTCCCCCGCTCAACTTTTAAAGGTGTCCCTTTCCCTCCTTCCCTCCCCCGGCCGGCCCTCCCCTCCTCCCCACCTCCACACCTCCCTCCCCAGGTCGGGGGGCGCAGCGCTGCGGGCAGGGACGGATCCTGCCCCCCCCGGACCCGGCACCGCTCCCCGGAGCCGCCCGTACGGGGAGCCGGCCACGGGGGCTCGGGGAGCCCGTCCTCGCCCCCTGCAGCGTCCTCGGAGCCGCACCAAGCGCCTCTCCCCGGAACACCGCTCCCCGAGGCTGCCCCCGAGCCCCCCCGGAGCACGGACCGAGCCACCGCTCCGCCAGGTCCCCGTCCCCTCCAGACCGGCTCCTGCTCTGTGCTCCCGGTCACAGCGAGGATGAGGAGGAGGAGATGCGACCTGCGGCGATAAACTTCTCGTCCCTCACTACTTTTTTTCCTCTCCGCTTTGGTTCAAAACCGGCCTTTTCCCGCACCTTTGCTCAGCTGTTGAGCTCAGGCACCAGCGACAACGCCACCGACTCCTCGCTTTTTTACCCCTACATCGTGCGGAAAAGAAAATAATAACCACCTAGACGGGAACTATCATTTGTCTCGGGTATATCACATGCATACAGTCACCTTTAGGACAAAACATTTACACAAAGCGTCTGTGTCGCCAGGACAGCGCTCCGGCGTGGAAAAGCCCACGTTGCCAGGTGTGGAGCTCACACTTGCCCACAAGCGGGACGTGTACGCGGCTGAAACCGCTCTCGCCGTTCCCCCCGACCCTGTTCCTAGCTTATTTCTTTCCCACCCTTAATTCTCGCAGAGCCTGGGAAAGCTTCTGCTGTTTAGATTCTGTCTGCGTCTAAGGCAAGACGTTTTAGCACAATTTTGAACAGAGCTGGGGCCAAAAATGTTTTGACTGGCGTCATTTTGACAAGGTCATCCGTCATCTTCTGTATAGATTGATAACACCTAAGTTAAAGGCAAACACAACTAGGGGAAAAAAAAAAAAAAAGTGATTCTTATGTGTTATGAAGTTGGCTATAAAAACCTTCCTGATGTCTTTGATCAAGCCTACGGTGTAAAATGTAATGAATTTCCAGTCCTCTCGCTCCATTAATCCACCTTGTAAAGCTCAGAAACAGCGCGATGTAGCGGGGGGACCAAGGTGAGGCTCTTTCCAACACACCCGCTACCCAAAAAGCGCTTCTGGACGTTCCTGATGGGAGTGGGCTCTCCTGCCTTTCCCCGTTTCCACTGCAGTGGCACGGTGTCTCGTCCCTGGCCAGCTCCCTGAGGGCAAAAGTCTCATTCCACCTTTTCCGACTGTTTAATTTTGATTTAATTTCATTTTATTTTTAAGTCGGACCTCTGCGTGATTGTCCTTCCCATTACCGCGCATCGTTCAAAAGCACCAGGCGGCTTGCAGCGGCAGCGAGCTCTACAAATTCGTTTTCGCGATGGGTAAAGCGTGATGGAGCGGGCAAAAGCGTCCAGACAGCGCGCTCAAGTTCATCGCCAGTGCCTGCCTGCGTGCGCCTCGGGTTGACAGAAACACCCCGCGCGGGCTCGTGTTGGGACTTCAAGCTCTTACCGCGTCTCTTGCCGTTTGTTCGCTGTTTTTTTTTTTTTTTTTTTTTTTTTTTTTTTTTTTCCTTCTGTGTTTGTTTATTTAATTATTTATTTTTCTTTTCCCCAGCTCCAAGCCATTGGGCTCGGGGTCACGCCCGGCCGGGGGCAGGGGCAGGAGGCGGTGGAAAGGGGCTGGGCGCCCGCCCCCGGTACCCACCACGGGCAGACCCCCACCCCCCCACCACCCCCTCGGCGCGGGGTCCCGCGGGCAGCACGGCCCGGCACGGCCCGGCACGGCTCAGCAGCACGCCGGGGAAGGAGGAGGGCTGCGAGGGAAGGTAAACGAGCGGAGGGACGGCACTGAGCCGAGCGGCGAGCGGGCGGCGGAGGAGGCAGGGACGCGCCGCCTCGGGCCGTGCCGAGCCGTGCCGGCCAGGAGCTGCTCATCCCGGCCCCATTGCCCTGGAGAGGAGAGGAAGGGCCGCTTCCGCACCCGCTGCCCCCGATCCGGATCTGGCCACCGCTGACCTCCGGCCCGCTCCCCCGGCAGGCGGGTCTGTGCGCCTCGCTGCTGCCTCTCACGAGTTTGTCTGCGCTCTATTTCCTACTTTTTTTTTTTTTTTTCCCCCCGTGGATGTGCCTTCTGTCTGTAAAGATGCAGGAAAAAAATAGATGGAAAGAAAGAAAGAAAGGAGTTTTTAACTACTGCCTCCCCCTTTCCCTTTCTCCCAGGCTTTTCCATTATTTAGAGGATGAGCGCTGAAACAAATCACATTGACCGTTTAGAAAGCGATCAAACCTTTATAAAAATCCATCGCCTGCGAATCGATTGGTGAATATTTGCTAGGAATTTGTTCAAAAGAAATAAATAAGGAGGGCAAGTGTATTAAATGCAAAGGGGGAACACGGTGGTGTTTTTCTTCATTGATTAATGACCTCTAAAATAAAACAAGCGGGAAGAGGAGCCGAGATCGATAAATTAACTACCCAAATTCATCATTTTCCCTGGGATTTTTTTTTTTTTTTTTTTTTTATAATAACCCTTAGGAAGGACGCCTGCCTCTTTGGAAACTCGAAGGTTTTATTTTAGGTTGGGGGCAGGAAAGGAGCTGAACCCCTTTTGGGACGGGATTGAATCGGGAACACCCTATCTGATTTCGTTTGACACACAATTAAAAAGTTTGCCTTTCATATTAATTAATTCTCCTGATCTGGGGAAGACAAATGGTCGGTTACCTCTGACAGGAGTCCGATAAAGGATTCAGCAGCTTTCCTTCTTGCCCTAGGCGTCTCCTCATTCCAGTTTTAAGGTCATGAGCGGCTGAGTTAATAATTCATTAATATAGACATTTATTCAGATGGGATTCACGGGGATTCACGCTCTCCTACATCTCGCACTTTGGGTTCGGTTTCCCTCGAAGGAAGAAGGGCAGTGAGGGGAAGAGGAGGAGGAGGAGGAGGGATGGAGGCAGCCCCTGCACAGTGCGCGGGGAGCCCGGACCCGCAGCGGGACCGGCCCAGCCACGGGAACGGCGCTGCCGCGGCCCCGGCTCCCTCGATCCGCGCTTCCGAGGCCGAGGCCGGGCTCTGCTTCCCCCTTCCCCTCCTTCTGTTCTTCCTCTTCCACTTCTCCTTTCCCCTAATCCCCTTCCCCTTCCCCTTCCCCTTCCCCTTCCCCTCCCCTTCCCCTTTCCCCTTCCCCTTCCCTCCTTCCCTTCCCCTTCCCCTTCCCCTTCCCTTCCCCTTCCCTCCCCTTCCCCTTCCCCTCCCTTTCCCCTTCCCCTTCCCCTTCCCTTCCCCTTCCTCTTCCCCTTCCCCTTCCTCTTACCCCTTCTTCTTCCCTTTTCCCCAGTCTTTCCTTCCTCTTTCCCTTCCCCTACATCTCCCTTCCCTTTCTTCTCCTTTCCTTCCCTCCCCTCTCTTCCTCCCCTTTCCCCTTTCCCTTCCTCTTTCCTTTCCCCTCCCCCTTCCCCCTCCCTCCCCCCTTTCCCTTTCCTTTCCCTTTCCCTTTTCCTTTCCCTTTCCCTTCCCCTTTCCCTTTCCCTTTCCCTTTCCCTTTCCCTTTCCCTTTCCCTTTCCTTCCCTTTCCCTTTCCCTTTCCCTTCCCCTTCCCCTTCCCCTTCCCCTTCCCCTTCCCAGCGAGCAGCCAACGCCGCGGTCGGTGCCGGGGCCGTGCCGGGGTCGCCCCGCACCCTGCAGCCGCCCGGAGGGGCCCCAGAGGGCGCCCGCGCCCCCTCGGGCGGTGCCGGTGCCGGTGCCGGGACGCGGCGGGTCGGGAGCCGACCGCCGACCCCAAAAAAGCCCCGGGAGCGCCCCTCGGTCCGGGGGTGCCCTGGGGAGGGGAGCACCTGCCCGGCAGATGCCAGCCAGACACGTAACGACTTTCTGCCACTATTGACCCGGTGCGGATATGAACTGGTGACCTTTGAGGTGAAATGCTCCATAAGTCTATTACCAATTCCCCGAGCCACCAAATCCCCCTAACAGGCGGGTTCAGATATTTATGTCCATCAACGAAACGAGCTGCTCCAAGCCAGGCACGCTGCAGATGGCACGGCAAAGGGAATCAGTCCCAAAGTCCGAGGGAAAATAAATCAGGTCAGAGTACAAATAGAGTTGAACTTAAACATGCCAAATTCGGGAAAATGTCACTCCTCCTTTCACACACAGCCCATCTGAAAACATTTCCAATTAGGTAGGACTCAAGTCAACCATTCAAATACAGTTTTGTTTGTTTGTTTTAACCAAAGACACAGTTTAATATTATTCCATGATGCAGTATATAGACTAAAAAAAAAAAAAAAATCAGGTAGGATTTCCACAGGATTATGCAATTTAAAATCCATTCACTGGATGACAACAAGATTAATAGGCTGAACGCTGACATCTTTAAGTACAACTTTTATGATTTCTTGGTCCCTGCATTGCTAAGTACTTGTTCATGTCTGTATTTCACTCTATATACTTTCAGAAATGGTCTAAGGGAGCACTCAGAAAAGCAGGCTTCCATACAGCGCCTTGTGTCAAGCTTTCTAAAATGAAAGGACTCAACATTCTGAATGCTTAAGCAGCACTCTGTGGCTACCTCAGATTGCAAAGCTAGGAGAGAGAGAGAATTTTCCTGTATTTTTTCCTAAAAATAGCTCTCATAAACACAGAATCCATTAGATATGATTGTTTGCACATGACATGAGAATGGTAAGGTCTGGACAAAACTCAAGAATAGTAGCATTTCAGTGGTTAGTATTGTGAGAATGCCACAGTTTTACCATAATGTTTGTAAAAATAAATGGAAATAATAGTGGCGGGTTTTGTTTGTTTGGTTTTGTTCATTCATTTCAATTTCGGCCTAGAATCATAATCATGACTCAGTGTTTTTTAACAGAAAAACCTTGCACTTTTTTTTTCCCACTTAACTGGTTTCTCACAATATATGCTTTTCTAACAGGTTTTCTAGACCTGTATTCTAATCATGTCCCCAACCCCCCAAGTCACCAGTAAGTATATTGATGGTGAATGGAAGAAGACTGACAGCCCTGGCGAACAAAGTCAACTTAAAAGCAGGGACCATTTCGTCCCTTGTCGTGTATACAGTGTGATAAAAGGCTGCAAGAACATGTCTGAAATACCTGCCCTGCTGCTGCTCTTTGTTTTTGCTGGACTATGACCAGCAGATGATCTTTGATTTGAATAAGCCCATATGTGAGATTTACCTCACCAAGCCAAATTCTGGAATATGGTTGCTCATTCTGGTATCATTGTTCAGGAAACTTTCATGTGTAGAGCAGGACTTGGGGAGAGGGTAATAGCTCTTTTGGAAGAGAGGATGTGTGTGTTCACTGAGCATACCATGAAAAACGTCTGGTCACAGCCTCAACGCCAAGTAGCAAACTTTGGCTGCTACAGCAGTATTAATAAATAGTACTGCATGACCAGTAGAGTTTCCTAAGTAAATGAATAAAACTGAACAACATACAGAGAAGAAGAACACTCAAGCAGGAGTACTTAAATCAACAGTTTAAATAATTAAACAATTACAGTAGAGTCCTTTCTGCTCCACAGTAGTTGATTCAGTTCTGTTTCAGATGCATTGCCAGTTAAATCTTTGGTTTTGTTCTTTACATGGCCAAGTATTTCCTGTAATGTTATCTAGAGCCATGGGTTCATGACAACTGGAGTCCAGAATCAAATCCAGAAACAGAGCTGGTCACAGAATAAGTGACATAGGTAAAACAACTGGCTTTTCAATTGTATGGCAGTTGGCAACTTTCTGCAGCAGGGCTTGCTATCTGACATTGTACAGGGTGAATTATTCACGGCAAGGGAGCGAAAACCAAGCCAGGTGATTTAGGGAAATAGAGGGAAAGACCATATACCTTAGACGAGAAAACCACCAAAAGCACCCCATTATGAAATTCTGTACTCTTTTGTTCTTACTAACAAGAAGCAGTTTTTCTAGTTTTCTGCTTTCCTCCTGACAATCAGACTGGCCTTATTATTTTGAAAGGATAACGCAGTCATTGGTTACTCCCTCAAGGGAGAGGCCTTACAGAGAGATCTTGACAAATCGTGGGGGTGGGCAATCCCCAGCAGCATGAAGTGTAACAAGAGCAAGTGCTGGATTCTGCACCAGGGATGGGGTAGCCCTGTCTGTACATACACACTGGGGGAGGAGAGGCTGGAGAGCAGCCCCAAGGAATGGGCTCTGGGGGTTCTGGTTGACAGCAAGTTGACCACGAGCCATCAGCATGCCCTGGCAGCCAGGAGGCTGCTGAACCTTGGGGTGCATCAGGCCCAGCACTGCCAGCTGGTCGGGGGAAGGGGCTGTGCTGCTCTGCTCTGCGCTGCTGCAGCCTCGCCACCAGCACTGTGCGCAGTTCTGGGCACAACATTAAAAAAGAAAAAGGATATAAAGCTGTTAGAGTTTTCAAAGGAGGGCTACAAAGACAGTGAAGGGCCTAGAGGGCAAGATGTTTGAGGAGCAGCTGAAGTCCCTTGGTTTGTTCATCCCCAAGCAGAGCAGGCTGAGGGGAGGCCTCATGGCGGCCTGCAGCTCCTTCACGAGGGGAGTGGAGGGGCAGGCGCTGAGCTCTGCTCTCTGGGGACAGCGACAGGACCCGAGGGAACGGCATGGAGCTGGGACAGGGGAGGGTCAGGCTGGGGGTTAGGGAAAGGGTCTGCACCCAGAGGGTGCTCGGGCACTGGGACAGGCTCCCCAGGGCAGGGACCACGGCCTTGAGCATGATGGAGTTCAAGAGGCATTTGGACAACGTTCTCAGACACATGGCCTGACTTTTTACTGTGGGGAGTGAGTAGCTGGACTTCGTGATCCTTGTGGGTCCCTTCCAACTCAGGATGTTCTGTGATTCCATGATTCTATAGGTAAAGAGTTGGAAAGACAAGGGATGCTATGGGCCTCTGCACTGAGTAAGGAATTGTTCAAGTGGAAATGCCATGGGGATCTTTAGAAGTGGATACGCCACTCAAAACAGAAGAATTCAAAATGTCTCCAGCAGTTGCTGCTAATCGAAGGGAAAAGATCCACTTGACTAAAATATAATAGTTTTCTGTCAGAATGGAATTCTCGACCAGATAATATCAAGAATCCTCCAAGATATTAAAGAATCCTCCAAGGTATTAGGCAAATCAGTGCAGTCATAGTAATTTCTGATGCTAAAGAGAAACAAAAGTAATGATCAGAACATGATTTTTGAAGGGAAGGGAAGGGAAGGGAAGGGAAGGGAAGGGAAGGGAAGGGAAGGGAAGGGAAGGGAAGGGAAGGGAAGGGAAGGGAAGGGAAGGGAAGGGAAGGGAAGGGAAGGGAAGGGAAGGGAAGGGAAGGGAAGGGAAGGGAAGGGAAGGGAAGGGAAGGGAAGGGAAGGGAAGGGAAGGGAAGGGAAGGGAAGGGAAGGCCAATCACCCTATTATGACATATGGAAGGATAAAGGAAGTGGGATCCAGCCTATAGCAGCTGGGATTCAGTAATGTCTGTGCCAGCAGTTTGGAATAACTTCTGAGGAAAATCAAGAGTTAAGCATTGAACAGAGGCTATAAAACTCCATCTAACCTCTTGACAACAAATTATTCAGGAATGTTGGACAGAGCAGCAGAGACTTTGGCACTGGCTACCTGTGCCCCTGCTGCTCAAACTGCCTACAAAACCACCAGTGGCTATGAGGGACAGATGAAAGGAAGCT